AAGGTCACATTAATTGGAGTAGACAAATACATTTTTCCTTCATGTCTGCGGCAGCCTGCAGCTATATTTTTTGCATTGTAATTTTTTTTAAGAAAGATATCCTATTCATATCTTGTTTGTTCTTTTTCAAACAATGTTTAAGAAAACCGTTTTCATTCATTATGCCTCAACAATGCTTAAACAATATAACTGTTGTAAAAATCAGTTAAAACATATGGATCTAACGAGTTTGCACACATTTTTAGCTTCTGATTTCTATGCAGCATTTGCTGGGCAGAAGGAACAAAAACAAAAATTACTTTTTCTTTTATAGCTGATTAGTACAATATTGCGGTGATGATCAATTCACCTTCTCCAGTCTAATGGCTTTGAGTGTTGGGCAACTTTCCAAATTCCTAGTTAACTTGGCCATCTCAGTTCCAGAATTTCTGGGCTGCTTACAATATAGGATAAATAAAAGAAGTAAAAGAACAACAGAACCAGCCTTTATTTGTGCAAGAGAATGGATTTGTTGCTGCTTGTTTAATTTGGGAGCATTGCAGAATAAGTTCTAGCTCCATCATGCACACCAAACTTTCTCCACTATTTTCTTATCAATATATACATAGACTGAATTCTTGCTGGTATCAGATAACTTATCTACAAGGCCTAAGAACTGCCAGCTCAGCAGACATCAGGAACAAAGCTATGTAAGCAGGCCCAAAATTCCACCTGTTAGCAGGATCAAACTCTGGAAATTGAACAGAATGGGGCAGAATTTGGTCTAAGTGAAGAAGCTATTAGGAGGATTGAGTTTGAAAACGATCCAAATCAAATCAGAAAAAGGATCCTCCTTTAATGCGTCCTGATGGGGAGGCAATCTTGAAACTGTTCCCCGATCCAGAGTGGAGCATATGCATCTGTGTGCTTCCCAATGCACACATAAACACCAACAGGGACACAACACACTACTGTATTTCACAGGAGAAAATATAGACTTCTCCTATGGTCACATCTGATGAAGGGATTGAAAGAATTCCAGAAATTCCATGCTTTCCCTAACATTGATATGTTGGGAAATGATTTATTGGGAACAGATTATGTTTAGGGTTTGGACTCTGTCCATCCATTCATCAGCAGAATAACTGTCAAAATAAACAAGAACCAAATTCTGTGGGAAAAGACAATCAAAGGAAGATTGAATTCCAGTGCTTCCCTATGGGAGAAAGAGTTGGGCAGCTGCTCAGAATGTTAGCAACTCCTCCATCCTAAGTCACCTTCCCTCTTCCTGGATGGTCATGTGGAGCACACGCAGCCTGCTTGGCACCTCCCAGTGCACGAGAACAACAGAGATTCAAACACAGATGCAACACGCATCCTCCTCCTCCTCAAATAGTCTTTAGGGAGAAGGTGCACATATGTGTGCACACAGAAAACATTTTGTTACATAAATGTCTATGAAGGTTCTCAGTCATCCATCAGGTCAATTATATCAAAAGTGGTTTTTATTTTTCAAAAGGCAACTGGACTGTTTGGTTTTTTTTTTGTTTTTTTTTTGGAGAAAGAAGACGTTTCACTTACTATCTTGGTCATAGTTAAAACCCCAAGTAACTACAACGGCTCTTGGAGAGTATTAAGACCAGTTGACTACCTAGAAAATATTATTTTTCCATCCCACTCATCCTGTCAGAATCTATCATTTCCCCCCCCACACACCCCAACTAATGTCAACTGTCAATAACTGTCATCTCTAACGCTATCCAACTGATGAAACTTCCAGGGTAGGAAGTGAAACGTCTTCTTCCTAAAAAAAAAAAAAAAAAAAAAAAAATCAGTCCAGTTCCCTTTTCAAAAATAAAAATCCCATTTGATATTTTGTTACACAGAACAAAATACAAGACCCCTTTTGGTAATTGTGGGGGAAGATGTAGGGGGGGGGGGAAATCCAGAAGCTATATTTTCCTGGCTCTTTCTGGGCAGCATATTTTTCCTAACAGATAACTGATTCTCTATACCTAGAGTAGAAAACTGTAACCCCTCATAAGTTCAAACCGATTCCCAACAACTCTAACCTGCATGTCCAATCATGAACTATTCTAGAATCTAAAATTCAGCAACATCTGGAGAATCAAAGCAAATTGAAAAAGTTATCAAAGAAATATAATCCTCCCATCCCCATCCCACCATCCTGTCAGAACCTATCCTTCCATCACCCCACCATCCAGTCACAACTAATCCTTCCATCACCCCACCATCCAGTCACAACTTCTTGAATGAGAAGCAAAACGTCTTTTTTTCTCTCAGGGGAAAAAAACGGTCCAGTTGCCTTTTGAAAAAGCACCTTTGAGACAACTATGACCTGGATGACTGAGAATCTCCACAGACATCTGGAGAATCAGTTTCTTCACATGCTCTGGTAAAGTTGTTTGAGAGTCAGGATGAACTGCAGCCAGTGAGAGTATAGACAGGTAATCTTTTATTACTGTCACTGACTAACGAAATACTGAGCCTATAATGAGATGAGAATAAGATGCAAATGCCTAATATATTCTATAGTAAGGCAAGAGGATATCCCAATGTAGATCATTTTCTTCTCCAATCCCTCCCAGGGTTCCTTAACCGACATAAAAAGCAGAAATATAGCCCATCACTTCAAATGAATGTTGGAGCTAGTATTATTTATACCTATAGGCTGCAGGAAACATTTTTATAGCTAACTCCTTGAGAACCCTGTCCTCGATTCTTGGAATATATTTTTTCTTTTTGGATTGGCTAATCCATTGCAAGCTACAAATGTGAACACTGTAATTTTTTATTTATTTTTTTGCACAGCTACTCCTTTGGGCACAGATGTCATTGTTTTGATGTAGAGATTCTGAAAAGCTGCCATTAACACATTAGGCTATGATGGGTAAGTTTCAGCACAATTTCATTCAATATAAAGACAAACTGGAAGCTAGGCTAAAAAGCAGCTCTCAACCAAATGCTGCTCATGGGGCAGCCCTGGACTGAAGATGTGGACATGGGACAATGTAGTAAAGCAGTGGTTCTCAACCTGTGGGTCGCGACCCCATTTGGGGTCAAACGATCATTTCACGGGGGTCGCCAAACAACGCAGTCTGCCATTTTTTTCCCCTTTTCCTTAGCTGTGCTACTCCCTTTTATTCTATTGGCTTTTGAAAGCCAATAGAATAGACTCTCTTGAATAGAGTCTAATTCTATTGGCTTTCCAAAGCCAATAGGAATTGTCCAGGCTGTTTCTGCCCTGCTGAGCCCTCCAAAAGTCCCATTCTGCAAACAGTGCTGCAAGTTGTCTGCAGCGAAGGCGAGCTGTCTGGAAGTTTCTACCCCTCCCTGCTGAGCAACTACTAAAAATGTAAGTAAAAGAGGGCCAGGGGTGGGAGGCCGGCGGGCGCAGGGAGGGTTGCTGGCGCGCGTGGGGCTCGGTGGGTGCCTTACCTCCCTTGGGCTGGGCCAGCTGGTGGCCCAGCCGGTGGTCACCCTGCGCCGTCGCTACCCCTTGCCAGCTATGCCTCGGCTGGCACAGGGGGCGGCACCACGCATGTGTGGCACTCCCGGGCAGTGAAAGTCCTCGACTTACGATCGGTTGAGTAGTCCTCAACTTATGACCAGTTGGGGGTCGCACATTAAAAAGGTTGAGAACCACTGTAGTAGAGGGAAACTGAATCTAATCCTCCCGTACCTTTAATCCAGATCAAGCTCCATGAAGCTGCTATTTCCCCCAAGAAGAAGACTGCTGTTATCAATGGCAGCCGCTTTTCTTCAGAAGAAGCAAAAGCGGTTTGGGACAAGACTAATATAGGAACAAAAATTGCAGCGTAACCCTATGACTCTCCCATTCCAGGTTAGGGTCACTGTAGTTTCCACGCGCATCAACAATTCAGCAAACATGCAACAGGTGATTGTGTGCTTATCACTTATTTAGTCCCAAGTTAGTATTGATTTGGATACTGAATTGTATTTAGCATAAGTTCACCACACGTATAAGAAACTAAACTGAATAAAACCTTAAGTGAAACTGTGTGCATTTTTAGTTGTGTAACACAATGCAACCTCTCCAGGAAGCTGCCACCATCTGGGCTTGCGTTAACTTTATCACATTCAATTTCTTCTCTTTCGCTGATCACATCAAAACAATATCTGGAAGTCAGTCAAAAAAAAAGACTTCATTTAATAAGTGATACATAAATCTTTTGCATAGAAAAAAGGGTTACCAAAATAATGAACAATTTGCCCCTCCTCCAACTAGGAAAAGTATTTTTAAAACAAATATTTTAAAAGTACATTTGTATAATGTTTAACATTCTGTTTACTGCTTTCTCCACACAGCAGAGAAATGAAGTGCATAATACATGCTGTGCTTTCATTTACCTTGCCCTCCCCCATCATTAACTCTAGCTCTTGAGTCAATGAAAAAAAATACTTGTGTTATTTCATGTTGCTGTAATAACAATAACAAAGCAAAACATTTTTATAGTACTGTTTGTATGGGTAATTTAAAAAAAACATAACTTACATCTTCTGGGTTGTGCACTGATCCCGTACAAAAAAAGAAAAAACAAAAGAAAACAAATGGCAGCAAAAAAAAAAAAAAAAAAAACTAACCCAAAAGTTCACGTTGCTGATACTACAGCTCAGCCTTTGGCAGTCTATTTCCTTCCAGATCTCCTGGAATACAATTGCCCTAATTTTTCAGGTATGTATGATCAAAGAGAATCAAACTGAGCTCCAATGAAAGCCAGTTTTCAATCAGATATGATTGAATGGAAGAAAAGAAAATGGCCAAAGGATAAAGAACTGTAGCTATTTAATCATACCTCTTTCTGTGACAAAAAAGGACTCTAATCTAAAGGAAGCTGTTTCCCAGCTTGCAAAAGTGAACCAGACTTATCAGCTGTGACTTTACCAAAATGCAACAGTATAGAAACGGTGGTCAACTTATGCACGCTTATAACTTGACACCAAGCATTTTACAGAAAGTGCCAGAGGCTTGTAATTTCTTAAACCACACTGGAAGTTTAGTGCTTGTATCAAAATTACATGGCAGACATTTGATAGATCCACACAATGAAAGTAAACTAGATGAGATTAAGTATATACAATCTCAGCAACCTTGTTATTCTTAAAATTCAACTCTGCATAGTTAGTTTGGTAGGGTTCCACTGATACTAAAGGGCTGCCACCTTACTGCGTGTAGAAGTACTTATTCAGAAATTGTATCCCTATTCTGGATCTTATTAGCTGATTCCAAATTCTATTGTTTCCTCCCCAGCATCATTTTCATGTTTGCACGGTGGTTTAGCCTTAGATAAAAAATGCAAAGAAACACATATAAATACACTGCCTATTCAGAACGGGACAGGCACTTAAGCATTTAGGACAGCATTTGTTTTTGAGGAAGATTTTGTGAGTTACAATCCACCACTTCCCTGGCAAATAAAAATGCATAGCAAGAGCATTAAAGGCGACATAAGATATCATTTGAAGACCACTGTCATCCAGAATGAGGTCTGACTCAAACGAAGTAGAAAAACCTCCATCCTGACAATTCTTATGGCAGATTTGCTTGCTCTTTCTCTTCTGTGTCTTGAGCATCCGTCCGGCTCCTTGAGCTGTTCACCACCTAAGCTTTGTGCAAGAGCTTTCTGTTCTAATCGCAGGAGGCATTTTGAAGGGCAAATCTAAAAAGCTCCAACTTCAGTACCCCAAGGTCGGTAGGGTTTAGTGTTTCCATTACTGCTGGGTTGCTGAGAATTAGCAGACAAAGGGGGGCTAATGGCTGCGGCGGCAGCCACTGCTGCTGCTGCTGCCGCACTTGGAGGAAGCATTGGGAATGCTCCAGCAAAAGAAAGAGGGAAACTCTGAGCTGCTGCCGCTGCTGCAGCATGCACAGTGGCAGAAAGCGAGAGGAGAGAGGTAGAAAGTGGTGGGATGCAAGGAGCGACGCTGCCCGCCGAGGGCACTCGGAGGGTGGAATCGGCATGGGCGAAAGTGGCGGTGAGGAGAGCTGAGCCATGGGAAGGCACTTCTGAGGCTGTGGACAGTCTGCAGGGGGAGACGTCGGAGGGATGTAATCCATTCTGATGCAATAAAGCCGTAGGGAGATGATGGAAAGCAGCCGCCCAATGATGAGGGTGCAGAGGATGGTGATGATGTGCCATGGACGAGGTCATGGCAGCGGCTTCCCTCTGGGAAGCACACGAGCTGAGATGGGAGACTAGTCGGACTCGCAGAGGGTCTGCCGTGTCTAGACCTTCCACAGAACTCAGGTATCTTGCAACTTCGGTTAGACATTCTCGAAACCCAATGCTAATGAAATCCATGGCCAGAGCATGAGCGTCAAAATAACCTGGAACACAGAGGAAAAATACTCTTAAATATCAGAGGCTTCCTTTGGTCTTTCTTGTAAGGCACAGCCTGGAATACGTATTTTAGTTCTGAAAGTATGTTACTGAAGATGGTCTGTAAATTAACTTTGTAAAGTTGTCATCTCAGGGATAAATATTAAAAAAAAATCTTTATTTGGTTTATTTAAAATTGTACTTTTACTATGATACTTTTGACCCCGACTGATAAAAGCCCATGTCTGCATCAAATACTTATAAACACTGTCAAATTGAGTATAGTAGTCTCGACTTACAACATTTGAGTCCAAAATTTATATTGCTAAGTGAGAGATTTCTTAAGTGAGTTTGGTCCCATTTTACGACTTTTCTTGCCACATTTGTTAAGTGAATCACTGCAGCTGTTAAATTAATAACACGGTTGTTAAGTGAATCTGGTTTCCTCATTAACTTTGTTTGTCAGAATGCAAATGGTGATCATATAACCTTGGGACACTGCAACTATCATCCAAATTTTGATCATCTGATCATGGAGATGCTGCAACAGTCACAAGTGTGAAAATGATAAGTCACTTTTTCCAGTGCCGAACAATCAGTAAACAAACTTTTGTTACAGGACGACCTGTATTGAAAAGTTTGGCTGTAAAATCCTACTCCTTATATTCGCAGGGCTATTAAAAAGATAAAATGAAGAGCGAACTCCAGTGTGCTGTCTTGGGTAGACAGTGAAATGGGCAGAGTATAAATCTAATAAATAAAATAAGTGTAAAGGCAATACATGCAAAGCCTCCACACTTATTCAGCTGTAGTTCAGATATACAGAATTACTCAAGTGACTGGGCAATTTAGAAGGCACTGAGTTGTATTGGTTAGGGCAGGGGCAGGCAACCTTGGCTTTTTATGACTCGTGGACTTCAACTCCCAGAATTCCTGAGCCAGCCATGCTGAGGAGAAATGGAGAGATTTCCATGCTGAGCCACGCTGGCTCAGGAATTTTGGGAGGTGAAGTCCACGAGTCATAAAAGAGCCAAGATTGCCTACCTCTGGGTTAGGATGAAAATGGCGTAGATTCAGATTCACCCAGAGTCCTGGGAATCTATTGGATGGTTGCTGTGAGGTGAAATAGTGGGAGGAATAGTGCTGCATAGTAACTTGTGCTCTTGAAGGAACATTGGAATATAAGAATACTTCCTGTATTCTTATATTCCAATGTTCCTTCAAGAGCACAAGTTACTATGGAAGTCCTTGACTTACAACAGTTCATTTAATGACCATTCAAAGCTACAATGGCACTGAAAAATTATGACCGTTTTTTCCACACTTACATCCACCGCGGCATCCCCAGGCTCACATGATCAAAATTCAGATTCTTGGCAACTGGCTCATATTTATGACAGCAGCAGTATCCCGGCGTCATGTCATCACTTCTGACAAGCAAAATCATTGGGGAAGCCAGATTCACTTAACAGGTCACTAACTTAACAACTACAGTGGTTCATTTAGCAACTGTAGCAAGAAAGGTTGTAAATCGGGGCAAAATTCACTTAATAAATGTCTCACTGAACAACAGAAATTTTTGGCTCAGTTGTGGCTGTAAGTACAGGACCACCTGTAATAATATTAATAACAAAAACATCATAATAGTGGACGTGGCAATACGTAGAGGCAGCAGAACAGAAGAGAAAAAACTGGAGATCGTCACAAAATATGAAGACCGGCAAAGAGTAGTAGAATGACTATGGCAAAAGAAAGCAAAGATAGTGCCGATAGTAATAGGCGCCTTGGGTGTTATCCCAATACAAGTGGAGCACCACTTGAATACCATCCACACTGACATCACCATTGGTCAACTACAAAAGGCAACTTTACTTGGAACAGCTAACATCCTTCAACAATATCTTTAACAATTTCAAACATCTGTCTATCCCAGGTCCTTGGGAAGGACTCAATAGGTGGATAAAAATGCCAAATCCAATCTAAAATGCTGGCTGATTGTGTCATCAACCATAATTAATAAAAGCAGCAGCAACAAATAGAGAGCAAATGCCATCACCGCTAGAGGTAGTAGACTTTTTACTGCCAAGGAGTTTTTCTCTTTAGCGATTGCTTCTTCGTGAACTCTAGGCCTCAATAGTCAAGTCTGATAATTTTAGGAGTTCTACTTCTTCCTTTAAGTGAACATTCTTCTAGTAAACCCTAATAGAAAAATACCAATGCTTTTATATATGTTCTACTAATTTTAGTTAGACTTGCATTAAATGTTTGCGCTGAATCTAGAGCAAATTGTATTACTATTAAATAATACAAATTTTACCATCATTATCACCGTCATCTAAAAGGCCTTCACATATTATATAAAAACTTTAATCAGAACTGCTTAACTGAATGTCACATAATGTATTATTTCTTTGATTATGCAATTGTGAGGAAATACTGTTGTAAACCCAGTAATGGTGACCATTTTCATAGCTTTAGAATTTGATACCGCAACATTATCTCTTAACTTCATTTTCTATTTTTGTGTTTATCTTTTACTTGTTTAAAAATATTCTAATTTAAAAAAAAATCAAGCAACATGTTATTAAAGCAATAAAAATAAGAGGTAGATCTAAAACTAAGGTGTCTTCCCAAAAAGTAATTCTGAAAAATGTAATTGTACATTCCTGCTGTTAAAAGAATAGGGCTTAAATGGTTCTCAACGGCTTCTTTTAAACAAAAGATTAACTCCTGAAAATGAATTGTCTTTCTTTGTCACTCTACTATTTTTGTATACTAATTGCTATGTTCCAAATCAGTAGCATAGGCCTAGTCACTTTTTATGTAAAACAGCAAACCATGTACAGTACTACCATGGATTAGGACTAAGCTATGTATTAAGTTTACTTAATTCAAGAGGATGCATGGCGTAGAGGATAATAGATGCCTCGCGACAGAATCATAGCCTTAAGTTCTCTCCCCGGAAATACTAGCAAAAAAATAAATAAATTTAAAAAAACAATTTCTCACTTACACATATTTATATAGCACCTTCACTTCTTATTTTCAAATCCTCCTGTTTTTATACTCTAAATATGCAGTTTGCTCGGAGGTTAGACCAATGGAATTTCAAATATATGTAACACATGCAATCCTTTTCCAACATGGGAAAAAAGACTCCAATATGATCATAAATGGCAAATGGAAACTAGCAATACAACTCTTTGCAACCATTTATGTTAGCAACAATGGAAATCACATGAATGAGCTGATAAATAGCCATATTTTCTAGAACATTCCCAATACAATGATTGCTGATTAGACTGATGAAATTCTTCACAGACGGGCTACATAATAAAATATAATTAGTTTGAAAATACCCAGTTTTAGAAATACAACAAACATTGCACAGAGATGATGCATTCTTTACACTGCCTTATGCAAATTGTCAAAAAGATTGACAAAGCATATCTCCTTTATGTTTATTAGTTTTGCTTCTATTCTTCATAAGATTTGATTAACTCTTATGACAAACAAGACAGGATCGTGGGATAGAGAGATGTAACTGCAGCAATCAAAGCTAAAAACTGGTGCTAAATAATGAGGACTCTGATCAAGCTCTGATTCACAAATCCTCCTTCTCCTCCTCCACCATCACCACCTCCTCCTCATCATCATGTTATGTGGAATGTTCAAAACACCTAACATATTTAACTTTAGGAATTTTAAAATCATTTTTAAATTGTTCTCTAAATCCACATAAACTCACATTCTATTCTCCATTCCCAATTCCACAAGAGAAACATGTCAGCCCACAAAAAAGTCAGCACCTATGGTGGATCTCCCCCCCCCCTTTTCCCAGTAATGGTATTGAGTTTCCTCTTTAGCTAACCCACACCCAGAAGATGCAAACTTAGATGTTGTTCTGGTTATGAACGGCACAGTCTAATTTTTCATAGAAAACATTCTTTCTAGAACAAAGGGCAATGCATAAACAATACGGAAAGTTTCCTCTGGATCCACTTCCCGTGGTATAGCAACTGCATAATGAATTTTAAATTTGGTTTTGTTTCAGGCCTCACAATAGTGGCCACAGCCCTCTTTGTTTATGTTTGGGGTATTTGTTTTGTCTCCCTTGTGCCAGATTGCTGTGCTCTTTGGAAACCCCAAACAGATCTCTGACTGGACTGCCTCTGAATGGAGCCTTTACTCTCCCACAGTGTTATGAAAGCCAACGCAAGCTCAGGGTCAAGTGCTCCTTTTGTCCCAGTAGTTCTTTCCCACGAGTTCAACCCTGCCTTGAGCACCAATTTCCACTCCTTTAATCTAGAACTGCCAGGAGTGTTTGCAAAGGTTTCCCCTGCTCATATTAGAAAATCAGTTCCTTACCTTTCCCGCCTGTCGCCTGGAGCATCTTCAAATGATCCACTGTCATTTGCAGGATTTCTGCTTTTTCTAATTTGGCAGATCCCTTTGAGATAAGAGGCACAAACAATGAAGGCTTAGAAGTACTGTGTGCTTTGATTCGGTATCCTCCCTTTTGAGCTCCATCTTATGGTTTCAATTTTCCCAACCATTAGAGCATTCTCAGTTTAATTCTTCTACTGAGCATCTGTAGTCCAGACTTTACTATTACACACAAGCACTATATATCATTCTGCATAATGTGACATATATAATGCATGTTCTTCTATGGAGCATGGAAAAGCACAGACAATACAGAGTAGAGCTATATAGCCCAATATCAAACTCAGCAGAATCAGCATACAGCCATACTGAAAACATTTGCAAAATCCACTATGGATTCTTTATATGACCAAATGAAACTAATGGGAACTGCAGTAAACGATGACAATAGTTCCTGGTGCAGGAAAACTTCATGCCAAATAGTACCCAACTATCAGCTCTGATGATCTTCAGCTCCATGAAAAGCAATACCAAACCTAGTTTTATTTATTTATTATCATTTTAAAAATGTATGTGCAAATAGGACAATTGGAAGGCTATTTATATGAATCCATAGTATAGCGAAACTTCCATGTTTTAGTTCTAGCCTAATCTTTGGGCAGAGAATCAGGACAAGCTTGCGTTTAACCTGTTTTCATATTAGCCAACTGTCCCTGGGAGAAAGAGTGATGGCAGATTAAGAGTTGTCAGGATCAGGGATATGTGTGGCAGATGCCCAGCACTTTGTTTTTACTTGCAACAGACACAAAAAAGGGGTGGATCTCTTATTGTATGGTTGTGGGTATCATCCATTTTTACACTCTCCCCCAGCTGCAGATGAATGTAGGCATGAGGATGGGTTTAGCAATCCCTAATTACCCATTAGCTTTTAAACTACAATTAATTATCTGTTCATCTATATTCAGGCTTAAAGAAACAGGTCTCATAGTAATAATCTTTGGGCTTTTCCCTACTGCTGATATGAAGTGCTATCCACCGCCCCTGAGCCAGCAGTAAAATACACTGGGTAAAAACTGCAATTCCCATTCCCAAACAAAATACTCAGTCATCATGGATCACAAATGACAAGACTGGTTTTATATGCCATGGCCAATCCTTAGGAGTTGAAATAAAGGGGGAAAGACACCTGAAGCACTGGCACATGATTAAGCCTGTCTTGTTCATAGGATGAGATGATGGGACAACATGGGAACTCAAGCAAAGAAAGATGGTGCCTTGGCATAATTTTCTGGAGGTCATATGCAAGCTGGGAAAAGCCTTTAATATGATCATTTTCTCCTTGCTTAAATATACGAATAACTGAAGAACCTAATCTGACATGTTTTAGATATTAATAATGGTTTAGTACCTTTAGTTAAGAAACTGGTTCTAAATAACTTGTTCTTGTTAGTGATGATGCCATTTAAAGTTTCTTCTTTCTATTAACTATCCAGTATCTTTTGTTGTCTCCTTTTATTGTACAATTTCATAAAGCTTGAGTTAAACTAGTAACTTTCTCTTCAAAATGGAAATCATACAAGCTTGCAAATGAATATTCAAGTAATACCCCCAGTACAGAATAAACATGCAACATTTCTTTGGATGAGATTACATCAACTTTCCATAGCGATACAATTACAATAATTAATAACAGCCATTTTAGATCAAGATAAAGCATCTATAATGATCTGGCTTCGGGTTATTGAAAAATTGATTTCAAAAGGGTCTTATTTACATTAAATTTTACTGTTATAAAGTATGTGCGCTTGCACACATGCGTGCTGGTATTTGGTTATCTTAAATTGTTTTCTAAAATTTAGTTTACTCTATATCCCTCAAACTACATTCTGTCCTCTTCTCAATATTAATCTTTTTTCATATAGTGCAGAATTGTAATTACTTGTTCCTGAGTAGTTTCTGAGGTCTCTGAAGGCCTTGTTTTACAATGTTTGTGATTTTTTTTTAAAGTAAGTAATGTACTGGAACTAATAACTATTGGTTCTTGTCCTGGTTTCTTTGACTGGCTGAAAACAAACCCCTTTGCAAATTGCTCCAGATAAAGTGTGGCCACCAGGAAGGCAGTTTTACTTATTTGTTAATTTTTTTTTTACATTACGCTATAATTAGTTTATTTCTCACATCTACATTCTGTATACAATCTGTTCTTTAACCGTAAAATAAGCCATCATTTTCTACTTGAGTCAAAGAATAGAGAAAGTGATCTGAGGCCATATTTGTTATATTTTTAATGGTACAGCTTTCTTAATGAGGCATCACTTCCCTTACAAAGTGAGGTAGTAAATGTCAAAACTAACTGAACTAAAATGGGATCAACTGGAAAAATAATGGGGAGGTTCCATGATGCTTGTAACCTTCCCAGAAGTACATAAAAATAGATATAAAGACTGATATAAAAGAAAATGTAACTGCCTTAGAACAATGAATAGAAAGAACGCTCATTAGATACAAAATGTTAAAAACTATCTGTTAAAGAAAATTAGGAAACAAAAGTTGTGATGAAATGAACTGACTGTGCTAAAAACAGGATATAAGATCTAATTGATATTAAGTTACTTACAATGTAAAAATCATGTTTACTCACTAAGTGAAATAATCTATAGTAAGTGTTCTGAATTGAAACAAATATTTCTAATGGTAGTTTATAGTTTCCTAGATACCCTTGCAGCTTTAAAGAGTAAGGCATACATTTCTTAAATTATCTTTCTCTAACCAACTACTTTCTAAATATCTCAGAATACAAGTCTATAATCTCTACCTAGCATACCAGATGAAACACCTACACAACAAGTAAGGGAAGTATGTCTTAAAACAATTTTTTTTTTTGCAGTTCCAAAGGATCCATTAGACATGGATCACATGTTGATTGCACGCAGGTTGATCACTAGGTATGATGTAGCATTTCTTTTTTTGAGGGAAAGGCAGAAAATCTATCATTAGACATGTCTTCCAAAACTTGCACAGACATTTCTGTTGTAAACTGTCTAGTGACAGAATTCTCAAGAGTTGAACTGGTGATTTGTTGAATCTTCTATTTTCTGAGATTTCATAAGAATTGGACGAGATAATAAAAACCTCCTAAAACCTTTGCTATTATTGAAAATTACCATACTTAAGAAATAACTTCTTTACTTCACAAACTAATACTTATCAAGAGTTTTCTTTTCTAACATGTAGTATAAACTGTTCCTGCCGCCTAAACTGATTCCAGATCCATAGATGCATGTTCACCGCTTCACAGTTGTAGAGTTTTGGGCTAATGACCAATTATTTGGGGAATAGAGAGGATGTCATAGGGGTGAATAAAACTTGTCCTTCAAATCTGAAGTTATTTCATTCCTTATAATTATGACTTCAAAAAATCTTTATTCTGAACAATTATAATTTTAATTGGGCATTTATTATATTTTTGAAGAAAAGTACGCGGTACTCAGAAATTAAAGGCTGAATTGAATCAGTTTTTGTAAAACGCCCTGAACTAATTGTTTTAAAGGTTTTTTTTTAAGGTAAGGATAAAACTATGCAAAACAAGTTAAACATTTTATTTCCCGTTCTGCTCTGTATCTTTCAAATCAGCAGGTTCGCATAATAGAGGAAAATATTTATTGTGTTTGACCTACTGGGACAATTCTGAAAGTAGAATATTAGTTCTCCTTCATATGATCTTTTTGGGAAAAAAATCCATTTAAAATATTGGTTTTGGGTCATTTCAAATATAGCATGAGTAACACACATTACATCAGAACTTTTTTTTTTAATCCAGCCAATTATAATGACTCTTAAAATACTAACTGGGTTGGACAAATTAATGGAAAAAATACAATGCTGCTGTAGAATTTATCCAGAAGAGAACTTGTCATAGGTTTAAAACTTTACCAGATAAAACAATAGGAAGAGCTACTGAAAATTACCTCCCCGTCCATCCACAAAACAAACAAACAAACAAAATCAGAAACAGCATAGGCATTCTTGCTCAAAGGAGTAGCAAATAAAAGAATGGAAATATTTTTCAGCTTTGCGGAGAGTTTTGATTTTCATCGGTTTGCCACAACAGGGCATTTTATTGAAATGCCTGCTCTGCCAGATCAAGGCACATCCAGTCTTTCATGAGCTCCACGAAAGACCCAACAAAATGACACATAGGATTGTTTATTTATTACGCTTACTTGTTTTTCAAAAGCAGTCGGTACAAGTCGCCTCAGTTCGGATAAGCTGTTATTTATACGATCACGGCGCCTTTTCTCTATAATCTATTCCAATAAAAACAAAAAGCATGTGTGTATGTAAGCTTTAAAACTATAGGAAGAACAAATATTTACACAACTGCAAATGTTACATTGCAAATACAGCAGAAGGAATTCCTTACCCCTCTTCTTTTTTTCCTGGCCATAATCTGAGATGTTGTGGTAGGAGAATTTGACCGGATCACAGAACTGGCATTAGGCCTAAGAAACAGTTGAAAAGGTATGTCAGGTGCTGGATCCCATTGGTGCATTGTTTCTTACAAAGAGTTAATCTCTCCCCACCCTCCGAATGGATCCTTTAACCCAAGCTGAAAACACTATAAACACAAGTTTAAACAATTCCCCCTCACCATTTATTTTGGATTAGCAAGCCACTTTAAAAAAAATTGTTTCAGGCAATGATTAGGAGAGATCATTAAATAATAATTAAACTGATGATCATTTACTCAAAAGAATCCTACTGTTAAAATTCTGAACATGAGATGACTCAAGGCTGCTGCTGACAATGCGTTTTGCATTAGGATACAATTACTTGAATCCAAAATGTGCCTCCTTTCATCTCCGAATAGCACATATATGGCAGAAATAATAAAAATAATGTTTATTTACAAAATATACAGAAATTGTGGCCTCAGAAAGATAAGAGTCCTGAACTGTATATTTTACTGAGCATTTTAACTACAGCAAAATATATAACCAATACAAGGTATATATTTTTTGACAGAAATAACATCCGGGTATAAAAGGTTAGGAACAGGATTTCATGTAGAAATCTGAACATTTCAATAAAATCTATGGAACTTTTTTTCAATTACACATGTTCAGGCATAAATTCTGCATTATAAATAATGATGTGAAATTAATTTGTAAATGTAAAGATGCAATAAACACACACATGACAAATATATAAAAGTGTAAGCTTTTTGTAATTCATCTATTTAGAGAATATATAAACTCTTATCCTTGCTCTGTCACACCCTAACACACACCTTATTATTTCTCTTATCCTATCTAGCACAGCTTCTTTTTTGGCTTTATTCAAACAGTTATATTGACTTGAATTAAATTTTCCCTTAGAATAAAGTTCCTTAATCTACTTACATTTCCCTTCTGACTTTAAGACTACTCTGAATTGGGTTTGAGACTTTCATAAAGTAACTTAATTAAAACTAATTGTCCAGTTAATCTGCACTAGCTAATTTGCTGTAATCAGGTATGAGTTACTAACCTGTAGCACATATAATTATACTGACTAACATTAATTGGCTGATGCTTTGAAGCAAGAAATCAATAAAGATTAATTCCAAGTGCATTATGAAAGGTAATTGGATTCACTACATAATGTCAGACAATGATCTACAAGTGGAAAACATTACTATCTCAGCAAACTCAGAAAAAGATACTTACCATCTGAATAAAAATAAAACTAATTTCATAACCAACTATATGTAATTTTGCTACTATATGTTCTCATAGGTTCTTTATTAATACAATACATTTTAAAAGCTCTACAACGCTTCAGGCATGAAGTACAATACTTTTTAAATTGAACCACTTTCAAAGAAAATAAAGGAAACATGACCAGTTTTTCTTTTCTGGGAACTTTCTTTAATGTCTGTAGCTGAATAACCTACTAAAATTCCAAGGCTGACTGACAGCACTCAATAATACGGTAGGTGCCTTTATTCAGTCACTGGATCACAGACATCTCAGAGTCTAAGGACTGTTAAGACAAGCATGAAAACATCATGCAGTGATAGAAGAGTTGAAGCGTGCCTTGTTCCACCTATCTAAACAGTGTCCCTCCTATTGTAAGTAAAATATAATCAGACAGATTCTGACTCATCTAATAACTAAATCTCTTCCTTTTTCCTTGATTTTCTTGCCACCCACCCATTCTAGAAGATACACCCAGAATGCTTCCAGGCATACAACTCCAACTACTGTCAGTCAAAGGGCACTGTGGAGCAAACCACTAGATCCTTTATAAATACATAATACATAAAAGATGGAAAGGGCAGCTTGAAAAACAAAGAGCCTTAAAAACAGAAGATAAAAGTTTGGACTGCCTGAAGCATTATGTAAGTCAGCTTTATAAACATCTTCACCTTCTGGCAATGTGGCTTCTAATACATCCTCTTACTTCTCAAGTCCCCATCGCGAAATTCCAGCAATGCGCATCACTTGAGGTTTGCAAGATATAAATTCAAGTACAAGCGCTTTTTTGACATCTAGCACCCTTGCCCTTTACTACAGGATCTTGCAGAATACCATCTACTTATTCCCTTACTACTACTGAAAATGTTAATTACCTTCCACTTTACCTCTTCCTATTGCTTTTCTCTTTCTCTGTACTCCGAAATAGTACCCATAGCTTTCTCTTTTTCTAATAATTAGAGAGGTGGCTATGATAAAACTTGATGCGACCTGACTACTTCTTCCCCTGCCCAAACAAGTCTTATGCAGGGGTCGTCATGAACATCGGCATTTGGAGGTCGGGCTGAAACACGGCACCAGAAGGTAAGTGAAAATATCCAAGTACAAAGAAAGAAGTGGGTATCTTAATGTAGGAGCCATGAAGTCAGAATACGGCAACATACAGCCCAGTGGATGAAAGACAAGAATGTCCCTGTCCCAAACATCCAGGGAACAGCCAGAGTCCATGACGCTGAGCCTGAGGCACTTGCACTCCTAAATTCCCTCCCTCCTCCCCACCCCCCCCCCCGAACTGTAAGAAAAAGATATTTTTTCTTACCCAGAATAATTATTTTCGCTCCCTACGTCTATAGTCTCGTCCATATCACTGTCTGAGGTAGTGTCCTCGCAAGGTCGCTTCATCGTAGCCAAAGGAGACAGTCCAGCTTCCAAATCAGGGGGTAAATAGCAAGAACGTGAGGTTGTGAATAGGCGCTTTTTTTTTTTCCTTTTTGGACAGTCTCTGGATTGAGCCCGCCTCTCCCCACCCCCCACCCACCCCAAGCCGGCGCCAAGAAATCGAACGGATTTCTGAAGCTCTTTCCCACGGTGCAGCTCAGCCTCAAGCTCCAGACCCCGCCCAGCCGACGAAGTCACTCCCCCTCTCCCCGGGCTAGCCACTGGATTGAGAAAGCGGAGGAGTGAGTGACAGGCCTCTTTGCCAAGCGCTTCTGTTCCCTTCTTCATTGGCTGAATGCGCCGGAGCGGCGGCCGCGCCAAGCTCTCCCGGGTGTCTTGGAAGCGTGGGAAAGCCCCGAGCGCCTCTCGCGCACAAGGGAGACGGGAGGGACAAGGGGGTGGGAGGACGTCGGGCTGGCGCTGGCTGGGAGGCACCTTCAGGTCTGCACAGCCTGGCTGGATGGGGACAGCCAGCTTGGGCAGGAACCGCTCTGAGCGTGTGTGCCTGCTGACTGCCTCGCGGATGCCGTTCGCGCGCAGAGGAAGCGTGCACTCGGACTTGCAAAATGCAAACAGATTTTTAAAAAGTCGTCCTGCGCAGACGGTTGGCATGTCTGCCTGCACTTATTAAACTTTTAACGCCAGAAAAAAAAATGACATGAAAACTAAACTACGGCAAGGCTAGGAACCAATTAATACCTAGCAAATTTTCGGAAGCATCTATTTCTATACAGGAGGCACAGAATAAAGCAAAAACATTTCTGGAGACAGATTAATACTACACGTATAGACGCACATATACACACACATGCACAGGATTGGTTAATCTATCTTTGTCTCTGATTTTTATAAAGTGATTTGGGTCAACCGTTTCTTTCCCCCACTGAATTTTAAGCACCACACATCTCAAAATATGACTTGACTTTTAAAAAAACCCAAGGCCATCCTTTCTCACAAGCAGAGAAAAGCATAAGTTAAAGGCAACAGGCCATTTTTGGAATACTTAATTTGGAATATGTGATAGCTTTGAAAGATTCTACAGGATCTTGAAATAGAAATGGCTACCTAAAAAATCCATAAGGATAAAGGTAAATATGATATGTAAAAATAATATAGCTGCCTCGTCCAAAGAAATAGGGTCTGTTTTCAGGAGTGCTTAAGAAATATTAAATGGAGACAATCATAATTAAGAAAAGGCAAGCAATTTGCTTATTCTGCTTTTCCTTCTGCTTATTTCAACCAAAGTCCAGCATCTTGCTTTAAATTTAACCTCCATTTTGGTGGGCAATCCCTCAGCCCAATTGCATTTAGGATTACCTCATCCAGTCAAGGGCACTATTTCCTGGAATCAGACTGCTTTGAAGTGGGAAAGGAATGGGTACCACTGACAGGTAGGTTCCCACCACCCCATCCAGGGACCAGTCCTTCACAGGAGCAAGCCAGGAATTCGTAGTGGAGAGAAAGAACAAAGGGGGAAGGGCAAGGTGCTATTATTACATGCTTCCGCTCATTGGCATCACCCCTGACATTGGGTAGACGTGCCTTCCCTTGTTAATTGATTGGTGTCGTGGCTGCCTGTCTTGAGCTTCTCAGAGAGAAGGCGGGGAAAGTGCTTTTAAGATGTGCTTGAAAAGGAGACAAGGAGAAAAATAGAATAAACAAAGGAAGGGTGATGAAAGAGGGGATAAGGAACAACAATGGAAAGAAGCAAAGGCCCTGGCCTAAAGCTGGAAGCGGAGGCTCATGTTATCTCTTGAGAAGAAAGTCGGAGTCCTGGGAGTTGGTTAAACGGACACAGCGGTATAGTTAGAAGAGTGATGGGCAAATGTACCCAAATGCAGGCACTGTGATGAGAAAGCCCCTGCTGGGAAGAGAGAGAAACAATGGGCTTGCAGCAGTTCTTTCTGTCCTTTTTGGCGGCATTAGGACGGCCTCCCTGGGTAAACAGAAACCCGACCCATTTCAATTTGGCTGGTTTTGAAAATGCAGCCTGTCTTCCAGCAGGCTTCTCGTTCAAAGCAATTCGTCCACCTTTTTGAACGGTAACTTCCAACCCTGACAATGTCAGTTGCTTGGTTTTCACGCATAACCAGTGGAGAGATCCTGGATGCCCTCAGAGGTGTTGCGCAGCTAGCTTTATGAAGAGGATAAGAAGCCCGCAGATTTGAAAACCGAAAAGCCTCTAAGTTAGGATGGAGAAGTGGCAATAATGTAAACTTTGGCCAGCATTCCTGAACAGATCCTGAACATTACTGAATGGATGGCAAAAATCTGCCTTCTGCGCAAGTCTTTTGTCCCATAATAGCTCTATATGACTGTGGTAAGAGGAAACAGTGGCACCTTCAACTCCTTGATTCCCAGGTGAACTCTTTGCCCTTCTCCATATTTATCACAAACATCAAACGTGCTTGTGAAATTGTGAAGCTCTTTCACACACACACCACGCATGCATTATGTGCCTCTGTGTACAGTATAGCATATACAGCGTGTAGATGTGATGAAAATATTTTTTTTAAAAAAGTCTAATGAAATGGGATAATGCAGATTGTGATAATAAGGATCAAATGTTTTGTCCACTCAAATTTCACTAGCACTAAGTTTAACGTTTCCAAATTTAGTAAGAAAGCCTCTTGGCCATGCACATAAGCTAACTCTCACCTTACCTATAAAGTCGTTAAGAATATGAAATATACAGTTAATTACCATCTAGCCCCCTACCTGGATTATGGAGAATGGAAAGACAAGATAAATGCAATCAACAAAGACCGCTTCTAATTCACATTTTAGCTTTAGCGAATGGGATATAAATCAGCGTTTAAACCGTCCTACCAGTTCAAAAGATTCATAATGAAAAGTTACGAAACTGAACCCAAATTAAAATCTCCCTCAAAGGAAATGAAGCGGGTTTCAGGAAACGCGGACCCACTGAAGAAACTTGCATAGAGTTTCCCCAATTGGGAGGGACTCTCCCAGTTGCTAAAAAGAACTTGCGAACGGACGAATTCCTCCGGGGGAAGACCGAGCAACCAGGCGAAACGAGCGCCTCGCTTCTCAGCGCCTTTCGGGCAGCGGGCGGGCGGGCGGAAAAGAGACCTTGCCGCGGCTTCTGGGGCTGCGCGGGGTGGGGCAAGAGGTTTCAAAGTGTAACAGAGATCAGATCCCATCCGCGTTTGCACTGAGGAGGGGGGGGGGCGCGTGCCGGGGAGGAACCCTGCGGGGAAGTCTGAAGAAGCAATTGCAGACGTATCCGAATAAAGTGACCTGGGAGTTCTTGAAGACAAAAAAGTGACAATCGAAATTAGGGTGCGTGGCAACGAGTGAGGCAATTGAAGCGTTTTGAAAACAGCAAACGCTTAAGAGTTGGAAAATAGCATTTTTGAAGGAGCGAATTGGGCGTTTCGCTGGTGTCTAAATGCGTCCAGTGAAGAAACCCCCGTTAAAGCTAACGTGAAAGGAACAGGCGATAGCAGGCAGGGAGCGAGCGCAACGGTTCTTAGGAGAAACTTGGGGTGGATGAATTAAAACGCTCACGTGCTTGTGCGCCCTACTCGTGTAGGTGATTGAAGGTGAGAAATGCCGTTTTGCGAAAATATTAGAAACGTGGAAAAAACGCGCGAGGTGCAATGAATGCAAAGAGAGAAACGTACGGCTGAGGGGTGCGGGTGCGTGCCCTCATAGTTTAGAAAAGAAAGCCTTACTAAGTTCCTTTTTCATCCACGCCCCAGGCTGTGTAATTATATATAGTGACATGTTGCATGTCGCTCTTTCATGTGGCTGTTGTTACTGTGTAAAGGCACTGTGGGATTTCATGCTTCATTGCCTTGACAGGAACATCCTTTTCATGCTGATGTTTGCAGAGTTACTAAAAAGTGCACTACTGCTTAGACACAACAAAAGCAACAGCTCTCCCCCATCTCTTCCCCCCCCCTCAGCAAAAACAAGCGGTAGTTCTCAGGGTTTTTCAAAACATCCTCCACAATGGACTGATTTAACAACTGGATATACACTCTCCTGCAGCATTGCTTTTTTTCTTCTTCTGGGACAGATGGTGGGAATTTATAATGAAAGAATGAGAGTTTTTGAAACTTAAATTGAAAGATTCAAATATAAATCAAAGGCCAGTATTAAACGTTTTCTTTTTTTACTTTTGAATTCCAGTAGATTTAAAATATTTATTAAGGTGAACAACCCAAAAAGGTTTACTCGGGAGTAAAAAATTCACTGAGACTTCTGCAAAATAAATTTAGGTGTGTATATTGCTTTTGTATCATTGTTGGAATAGAAGGAATATATTACAAAGTTGTACCACCCTAGACTCTATTATGACTGCTATAATAATTATCTTTATTTTGCTTAAAGTTTGAGTATTTCTTCAAATTAATCCAATTAACTATGCTCTTGAAATTTTTTAAAGATTAAAAAGTTCAAAATAGCAGCACAAGCGACTGGTTTCCTTTTAAAAATATGTTAATCATTAATTTATTTAGAAATCCAGTCTTATTAACTACTTAATGATTACTTCCAAGAACATAAAATGGATGGGGGTGATGCGTGGTTAAGATTTAGATATTATTTTCCCCACAGAATAATATAATAATTATATTATAATTATATTCCATTGCAGACAATGTTATTATTATATTATTATAATAATAATATTGTCTGCAATGGAATATAATTATTAGTAATAATGGTTGTGTTCTGAAGGTCCCAAAATCTCTAAATTGTGTTTAGTGATAACACATCTTTGAGATTTTAGGATTTCTGAGGGCATGAAGCTACTAATGAGTGACATTACTTTTTTTTATGTACTTGTTATCTTCCTGGTTAATTTATTTTCAAAATAGCATCTTTATGTTAAAAGAGTTTAAGGTGTACTAATCCTATGAAATATTTCTAAGACTAGATTTTATTGATTGTAATTAAATGATATGTCACTTTTATTTATTGTCATTTTGTGAATATAAGAATTAAGGCCAGATGCCTAAGCCTTTGGTTTGGCTTTAAAATAATGGCATTGCTTATAAATAAAACATAGTTAGGATTGAATTATGTAGCCTACAGTCCTG